GAAATACTGTGTTTATTTTTAAAAGTTTCACTGTTTAATATTATATATATATATATATATGCTTAATATTATATTTATATAAATATTTGCAGAAGGTTAAGTTGTTGGGAGAATATTGGATTTCAGATGACGTGAAGTTATGAATGTTTTCATCTAATTTTATTTAGTTAATTATTGTTTTTTTAGTTTTGTTTCTTGCAATGTGGCAATCGAAAGATGTGGAATATTTAAAGTTTTGGACGAAAGCTGTTTAGTGTGTTGAATTCCAGGACATCGTTTTATCATTTAATCAATTTCATTTACTTTTTGCACATAAGAATCGATGTTCACCACTGTAAACAAAAATTTACTATTTTATGTTATTTCTATTTATGTTTAAAACTCTTTTCACAGTGCTCTGATCTGATAGGTGTATATATTTATTTACTCAATAATTATTTACAAGAATTCTTCATTCTACTATTTTATGACAGATAGGTCTATATTATAATTTGCAAAGCTAATGGACTTTGTTTTACTCATCTAATATTTTATCATCTCATTTTACTATTCTGTTTACATACAATAATGACATTTCACTACTGCAAAACTTAAAAATTACTATTCTGTTTACGTTTAAAAATCGCACCTTAGTGCTTTCATTGCCGAAAAAAAAAATTCGCCAACTTACCCCGCTTATGAAATATTAGCCCATATATTATAAAGTTAACAACATATGCATTCAAACGTTTATTCATTTGAAGTACCAATTATCCATTTATCAAATATTTATTCATACAATTTTGGGCATTACAAATGGGAAAGTATCACAAATGCTTCCATCAGAATATTTAAGAGCTATTTTAGAAGCTATGCTTTTACAAAAAGGTTTTCAAGAGCTGATATTTACACTGCATGCAAGAATAAAAAAAAAAAAATCAGAATTTGCAGCTAAAAATTAAAACTGAGTTGTTACTTACAATTACTACCATTAACTAACTTTAGCTACTTGGCTGTTGATTTTGTAAGATTAATGTGTTCCTCCTTCCATATTAAATACATAGAAATCACAGCAGGAGTAAAATTACATCTAAAAACATTCTGCAATTTTTACCAAATAAATAAATATAATGCACCCTTTATGAAACACTTTTCCATATTTAAGTACTTAATGCTCTATAAATACTCATGACATAACGAAAAGTTTGTTAATATATATTTTATATATAAAAATAATAGAAAAATTATTCTCTTCAAAAGAATTATTATTATCAGCTACATTTTAAAGCATAAAGTAAAACTAAAACATAATTTTAAAAAAAATTAAGACATTAATTTAACTATGATAGAAAAAGAATATCACATTTTTTCAACAAACCAAATTTTCGGAATAGTTTTAGTTTAGATTATACGCGTGAAAAAAGTACCTTTTCTTTATTAACACAGAAGTTATTACATGAATAACGCTTCTAATCTAGTTTCGCGCGATAACATTAATAACTTTCACTTTACATTGCTCAATATTACGCTTATATGTAAATTGTCAATAAATTAATAAAAACAAAATTACATACTTAAAAAAATAGAAAATTTAGTATCTAATGGAAAAATTAAATGACCGTAGTTTAATGCAATCTAGATTTTTTTCATAATTTTAAATGAATTAACATTGAAATTTAAATTTATACGCTTTAACATTGTAAATAAACATTATCCACCCCCCACCATGTCTTGCGGTTGCGGATCGAAATATATTGCCATTTAAACTTCTGAATATCCCACCTCAAGGTCCGTAGAAAGAACGCTACGGACCTTGATCCCACCTAACCTCCATGTATCACACTAATCAATGCATGTAAAAGTTTCATTTATTTACTGATATCGCTTTAAGATTGATATTAAAATATTACTCATGAGACCATAAATTTTCTTCTGATCTATATGTACCTGTATTCTTTTCACTGTGTAATCCTGAGTTTAAAAGAATCAGGCTGTGCCAATATATTTTGAATAATTGGAGATTTCTTTTCCAAAACACTTCTGAATTTTAAACATAGTTGGAAAAATTTTCTAATCATAAACTATCATATTTTATACTCTATAGAGTAAAGGAATTACCAATTCAAAAGGAGAAAAGAAATATTTGTTTTCAAAACAGTTCATATCAAAGCCTTAACTTTTCTGATAAAGTCTGTGAAACAGTCTTGGAGGCGACAATTTTGTTCCTTTAAGCATGCTCCTTTTTACTTTTACATTTTATCGACGGAGTATAATGTCTTTATGTTACGGAATGTAAAGTCTTTATACTACGGAGTATAACGTATTTATACTCCGTGATTTTATCATACCAACGGGAATAAATCTTAAAACCCTGTGCATATGTGCATATTCTCATTGAAAGATTCGTGAACATTAAAAAAACTGTTATAAATAAGAAATTATAGTTGAAAACAAAACTGAAACTGTCGTTAATAAAATTTTGTAGGTAATGAATATTATTATCGAAAATTCTGAACACGCACAAATGTTTGGTTGGTTTCGTAGATTATGGCAAAGCATACTAGGGCTATCTGCCTAAGGGGATGGATGCCTTCATGGAGGACTTTCTAAGGGAATCTGACTCTTATACGCGTTACACATGAGGAAAACCACGAAAACGTATTTGCCTGGAATTGAACTCAGGTAGGAATTGCCATTCGTTCATCGATTTTACATCTCTGCCGCTGGTGGGCACGCACAAATGAAACCATATAGCATAACTATAGCTAGACAATTTATTTTTTATTGATTGCAGATGCACCTTTTCATGATTAATGCTATTGTTATTTACTCAACTGTGGTAAATATGAGCAAGCCTTCCTAAAACCAGGAAAAGTCCATGTGCTTACACCATTGGCTAAGATTCAACCTGCGTATAATTATTAGCGATTAACAGTTCTAAGCCCCGTTAGCAGCCAGCTAAAAAAAGTGCTGAACACCACTAGTTCGACCCAAAGCTGTTATATATACAGCTTTGGTTCGACCTGGCTGAAATGTTGACCATATGGAATTTTTGTGTTTTCTCTGTGTGTATCATGGAAGATGGAAACGATACAATTCAACTTCCTCCGAAAAAGTAGCCCTTTCAAAGACCGCCCTCGTATGCTTTGCCATAATGCAAATAATCCTAAATCTCAATACAGAAATTTAATATCTTTGAGTACTGGTGATCGTCCTGTTTTACATTAAGTTTTGACATGTCATAGTGTATGGGAGGTTGACTCTTTCATTTAGCCAAAGCTGGTAAAGTAATGCCGGCTAGCTAAAATATTCAGTAACGTAACCAGGGCTAGTTAGTCAAGGGCTAGCGTAACCCGGGTGGGGCGAGGCGCAGCATCCAGGAGCGCCACATTAATGTTACGAAATTTTAGAATGAAACTTTTTAAATTCTTGGCATGGAGAAAGAGGCGCAAGATTTTCAGTTGTCGCCAGACGCCGAAGCCGAGTAAGAAAATGTTTCTACATCTTGACACTCGAGAATTAAGTACGATCTTCGTCGTTGAAGCAGCTTTGGATTGAATTTCAAGAACGCGAAATTTAAAAAAAAATACAGTGCCATCTTCTTGTTAAAATGTCTCGCAAGAGATGGCGCCACTTTTATTCAAACGTTAAATAGAAAACAAACGAGTTGTGTAAACATTCCGCTAAGAAAAATTTTAAAAAATTAATTGCTAAAATTTGTCATTATGGTTCTGTATGAACAGTTAAAACTTTTGTATGATCAAGGTCTCTACAGTAATGTAACAGCTTTGGTAAGAACTATGTGCTTATCGGTGTAGCATGTTAATGAATATAATTTTCTCGAAAACTGAATTTAATGTGAAATTCAAATTTATTATTGTGGTCGAATTACATTAAGTGTTGATAAATGGGGAAAAAATAATGAAAGGGATTGGACGTCGGTTTTTTTTTTCCTAATTACTTCTTTGCATTCATTTGCGATTAATTCGTTTTCATAATGCTGTTATTTTTAAATTTTCTTGCTATACATAATGAGAACGCTTAGGTTGTTGGAGTTTTAACAACACATTTGTAATACATTTTAAATGGCTATATTTTGAAGTTGTAACTGCGAAGCACGTTTATGGAAATTGTTAATTAAGTGGCTGATTTATTCTTCATAAGAAGATTATTAGATTTGTGTAGAGCCAAATTAGGACTTCATGATCAGGAATAAGTTATTTCATTTCCTGTTGTAATTAAACATCAGAAAAAATACAGCAGTCTTTCAGTTTTATGGTCGGTTTTGTTTAAATGATGTTAGTTTAAAGGTTTTATTTTCTAAAGTTCAAGATCACTTTTAAATTAAATTTTGTAATCATTGGTTCATGAATGGGCACTATTTTACAGTGATTTCTTGTTGCATTATGTATAACACTTTTGTTGTCCCCTTTGAGGTATAAATTAAAATTAATTTTTTATTAGAGTTAGTTATAGCACTAATTTAACAATTAATTTTGAGCATTAGGTAATAACAAAATTAAATTATTTTATTTCCTATGAAACAGAATTAGCAGCACTATAATCTTTAGTAAGTGGTTCATATTTTGTAATGTTTCAGCCTGTCTAAGATACTATGTGGGATCAAATTAAATAAAAAATATGTTTGATGAAAGTATTTGCTGTTTTGTTCATTGCCTCATCGTCATATAAAAAAAAAAAATAGTATAGAACTGTGATAAATACTTGTATATCTGTATTATCCTCCTGAAAGCATTAGGCAATGGAATTTCAAGAGCAGAACAATAGCCAACAATAAAAAATGGTGATAAAGTGCCTATACCTGTGGGGAAAAAAAATAAAAAAATGATGATAATACATAGTTTGTATGCATTATACAAAAAAAAAAAATAGCAAAAGGAAAAACAATTACAATTTACTACATTGCTACTTGGCAACCAGTGATCAGCTTGTGGAAATTCATTAGTCACAGATGGCAACTATTCATCAAAACCAAAATGACGCCAAGATCGGCACCGAAGAATGGCATAAGAATCATAAGATCTGTCATACATCGATCTGTTTTACTTAAAAACATCCTAGAATTGCCCAAACTAGGCATTCCGCATTGCCTAAATGTCCATGTACACATCAATCTTTTCATTTAAAATCGGGAAGGTAAAACAAAGTTAAAACTATCGTGGTAACCAAAAGTGAGGTTTCATCGCCAAAATTTTTTTAAAAATGTCGCCAATCGAAGGGGCACTCAATTCTACACTAAAGCCTTTTCTAAAATTGCTTTCAAAATGTAATATTTGTAGTATATGTAGTACTTTATATTATCTTAATGCTTATACCTGGCATTTAAAAAAAAACTACATTAATGAGCTGCACTATCGATATATTTTCTTACATGCATAATCTCTGCATAATAATTATAAGAAAAAATAAAGCATAAGATGTTTCCCAAAGAAATTTCTGTTGCAAGGAGAGACAGAGAAAGGCAATACATTTTTAATTTAAAATTTTCTAGGCCTATGAATAAAAAAATTAATGAATGTAACAAATATAAGAGTCAAATATATTTTTGCGAATGTTACTTTAACCTATTCTTATGTAGTAACCATTTCAAAATTAAAATTTTATTATCAAATAAGTTATTAATTTAATTTTCTAGTATATCAGCCATTATGTTTTTATAACTGTACATGAACACTGTGCAAAGAAAAAGGGGGGTATATTTTCTATATCTCCCGTTCTACTGGGTCGATTGACGAAATTCAACTTGCATTTTTCATGTCTCAAAAGGGCAGCTTTGGATGTGTATTAGATTTTTATATAGCATTGCTTTAATATAAGTACAAAAAATTGCACTTTTTCTAAAATGGCATGCCAATTTTTTTTCATATTTCGATTTTATGGCTCAAATTATGCCAAACTGCCAAGTTTTGTAAAAGTTACATGAGTAGTTTTTAAAAAATTCGCTGTCAAAATTTTAGCTTCTCAATGTTAATTGAATTTGATATACATATATTTATAAATATCTCTTTTTATTATTAAACTTACTTGATTTCATTCCAGAATTCAAAATTTAGGCTTAATCCAAATGTCATTGTCATTTGTACATTTTTTATGATCTGTTTTTAAAATATGCATTTTTAAATATATTTTTTATAAATTTTTCAAAAAAATTTTTTAGTGTAACCTATGAAATTTTTAACATCATCTTAAAGTAGATATATTTCTAGACACACTTTCAAAAAATTACTTTTTTTATTCAAAATTTTCTAAGATATACATGAATTTAAATATTGGCACATTTTGAAATTTTGCATATATGTTTTAATGGATAATAATGCCAAAGTTGGTTTGTGCTCTTTATTAAAATTATTTGATATAATGAACGATGACTTTCTTTCCACTTGTTTACAGTGAAAAAAGGAAAAGAAAATAGGTTGCTATAAAGTAAAAAGTTCGCCAAGTGAATTATTCTTGGTGCAAACTGAAGAAAATACGGCAAGGTAAATTTTTGAATTTCTCCATAAATTTCACATCAAATTTTACAAAATGTAATATTTAGGCATAATTTGAGTCGTAGAATCGACATACGAAAACAAAATTGTCATCTCATTTCAGAAAAAGTGTGATTTTTTGTCAAAATACCTGTATTAGAACAACACTATATGTAAATCTAATACATATCCTAAGTCGCATTTTTGAGACATGAAAAACAGAAGTTGAATTTTGTCAATTGGCACAATAGAATGGGAGATAAAGAACTGTCCGCCTTTTTTTTGCACTGTGTGCATTTTTGAATTAAGTATTCATTTATTTATTATTTTTGGTTTCTAGGCAAGTATGATACTCTCAGCGAGTGAAAGTAATCCTGATCTTTTAACATTTGCTACAAAATATCAGACTTTTGTATATTATGCTGATTCATTGGTTAACTTAAAAGAATATAAAAAAGCTGAAGTAAGTTAATTGACCTTTTTTTTATATTTTAAAACTGAATAAATCAACAGCTTATTTAACAGTTGTACTGTAATGTGATTTGATTTTTTAGTTAATTATTTATATTACAGTGCAAGTTTTTACTTTAATTTTGTAATAGTTATTTTTATTTTAAGACAGCTCTCCTTTACTTCCTAATTTTCCTACCAGAATGAGTTTTCAATTTCACACTTTATGCAAAATAGGAGAGAAACCACTACAGTACAAAGTCCGAAATCCGGACGTCCGTTATCCGGAATGATCTAAAATCTGGACCTCAAAGCCACAAGCATTTTTGTTTGTTTGTTTGGTGTGCTTTATGCATGTGCATTTGATTTTACCTTCCATAATAAAACATGGAGATTTTCACTTAAAAATTCCGATTCTTAATTTCACTTAGGCACTAAATAAAATTACATCATTATGGAAAAACAATCATGTAAGCATAAATTTGTGAGATTAATAACTTGGCTCCGTAGCTGAGTATCTGCTTGCTGTACATCTCAAACATTCCGTTTACCGCTGTTCGCCATGCTTGCCGAAACATTCACCTATTTGATATCCCTGATGCCGACCTGGCGAGTCATTATTTACTATATTTCGCTTTCATCACCGCATGTTTATCAATGCATGACAGCTTTAGTAATAACTCATGCAGTGATGTCTAAACTTTTTTTATATTAGTAATTGAATAAAAAGAGTATAGCAACCTTTTATGATAACATTACGCTTGGCGATGATTATAGATTTTTAAATGCTCTAACAAATGTTGACGAGGAAAAATTCAACAAAAATTTCTTTTCATATGCTAAAAATGGATTTTCATAATGCTCACTTTCATAATGAAACTCATAGGCTAAAAAATTACATTTAGTGCTATTTAATTAAAAATAACTGATATGTTATTCACCATAAACCCAGAAGCGGTTGCAGAATATGATGGCAGAATTTAAGGAAGATGAAATTTTGGAATTTGGAGAAGCACCGAGCGACAAAATTAAGAGATGAAGTTTTTTGTGATTTAGGGAAAGCACTGGGGTGCAAAGTTTAGGTGCGGGGAAAATTTAGAACTTGGGAAGGCGCTTTGTGGTAGAATCTAAGACTTGTAGAGACTGCACCATGCGGTATTTATCGCCGGGCATGGATAAAGCGTTAAGTATATGTGGAAGTTTATTTATTCAGGACTCAGATTAGCTTTAAGCATGTGCAAGAAATAAGCATAGGTATAGTAAATAACTAAACTAATACAATTCAGGCTTAATCCAGTACGCAATAGGAGCAAGACATAATTTAGCGGAAACAACTTAGCTTTTGTCGCCAATCTTGTGATGCACAGCCAATAATGTATCATGGATGCTATTAAGCTAGGCTAAAATTATCTTTACCAATTCTAAGGCATTTCAGTTAATATTTCAGACTGCATAAGTTCCTAATTCTTTTAGTTTGATCCAGCTTATTATTTTTTGCAGACTGTTATTATTACAGCAATTTTATAAAAACTAAGCTGGAACTTTCGATTATGTCGAAAAGAGTTTCCAATTCTGGAGCTGCCAATGGATCTACAAAAAGAAACCATGTTTCGATGTCCATTAAACAAAAAGTGAAGTTGCTGCAAAAAATGGATAAAGGCATATCCGTATCAGAATTATGCGAGGAGTATTGCATTGGAAAGTCAACTGCATATGACATAAGAAAGAAGAAAAAGGAACGTATTCAATTTTTTGTGGAAGCAACTTAGACAGCTTACATTGAAAGAAATGTTTAATAAAGTAAACAAATAAATATTAAGCTTTTTTTTTTTTTTTTTTTTTTTTTTTTTTTTTTGTAATTTTTCTAGATCATATTTCATAAATTTAGATTTCATATCTTTAATGGTATAATTTGTGCCAGATTACCAGATTTAAATTGATGATCTAATATCTGGAAAAATCCGAAATCAGTAAAGTCCCAACGAGTCCGGATTTCGGACTTTGTACTATATTTAAGCTGAGATGCGAGGTATTTCAGTCAGAGAGAGAGTGTCCTGTCTTTCAGCCATGTTGTTCCTATGAGTTAAAAGCTTGCTAGTTTACGGTTGTGCATATTGGGTGCCCGTTAGTCTATGCTGCTGATGTTTGGATAAGAGCCAACTACATTGTAACAACTCTCTGCATCTTAGGCTGTTTAGCCTACATAGTTTTAGTTCAATTTTGCAATTTTAAAGTTCAAGTCAAAAGTGTTTGCTTCCTGTACATCCCAAGAGCAGCTGTCTGCAAATACCCTCAAACTGTTTTCATTCACACGTATTTTAAACTCTTCTCCACCACGCTCTCCACATAATTGTACCAAATGAACTGAGTGTGTCGTTGTGTTACCATGAATACATACTACCACTAACCACTTCCCAAGAGCAGCTGTCTGCGAATACCCTCAAACTGTTTTCATTCACACGTATTTTAAACTCTTTTCCCCACGCTCTCCACATAATTGTACCAAATGAACTGAGTGTGTCATTATTGTGTTACCGTGAATATATACTACCACTAACCATCATCTATTATGTGTTAAAACTTGACATTCAAGACCTTAGAAAACTCCCTAAACTACTAAAATTAACTCCCTTTACTACTAAAAAATTAACTTTCTGAATCTCTTTCTTTATTTGAACATGCAGCCCCACTTTTCCCATGCAGACGCATTGCTTTCTTTGGGCGGCAGTTACTCTTTGTCCCGTTGTTTTGAAAATATTTTTTAAAGTACTCCTGCAAAAAGAAGCAGCACTGAGCTCCAGTATCGAGAAGGGTGGTAGTAAGAACATCGTTTAGTAAGATATGGATCTCCGGCAAGGCCGAATTTTGTACGACTACCATATTCAACTTAATTTCCGAGGGATTTTTCTTCCCACAAGTTGACAGGGCCCTCTTTTTGGTCACTGCGATCAGTTTAAATTCTTTTCTGCCTCTTAGTTCTGTGCTTTTTCCTTTCATTTCCAAATGAAAGGATAATATATAGACTGACCCGTCTTCCTGTTATCCGATTTTTCAACTTTCCTCGCTTGTCGATACAAACTCTGCTGATCTTGAGGTTTTTTCCTTGGGGGGGGGTACCTTGAATATTGGCGAAAGTTGCCTGCACGCACATTTTCAGCGGTTTGTCTGCTTTGAAATTTTACTGCTGATTGAAGTAAGTTCTCTAACGTTTGCGGGTTTTTGACTTCGAGAAAGTCTTGAATTGACAGGAGTAGACGTGGCAATATCACTTCAATAAGCTCATTATCTGGCCTTTTTCCATACAGTAAATTAAATATCTGGATCTTTCTCAAGATGAAGTCCATTAACTCATCGAGATTGGTTTGATACTTGCTAAAGAATTCTGACTGAAGCTTCGTACGGTCTTTAACCACTGAGAATGCTTTCACTAGCGATGTTTTAAAGTTTTTCCAGTTATAAGTTTCAGAACCTGGATCCCCCAATAGAAACTTACCAGTTTCTTTGTACCAACTGAGAGCTTGGCTTAGGTTCATTGAAGCGATTGTGATTTTCTGCACCTGCTTCCCTGCATATAATGTGAAATGCATGTCCAGCTGCTCTAGGAAGGTCATCATAGAACCTTTGCCATCGAGTATTGTAGCTGGCTTCCTGGCTGCTCTCATTGTTTCCATGATGAACCCGAATCCCTCCATCAGGTTTGCTGGAGGCTGAGGAACTTGATAGGTCGAAGGGGATCAACGAAAGCTTCTTCTTCTCTAATGCCGTAGTTCGTCAAAAATGCTTTGGGTGCCAAATGCAGGGTTCCAGTCTTTTGTCTTACAGCTAAATGTGTAATAACCTCATGAACAGATAAGCAAATAATCGCTTGAGTTCAGGAACAAAGACATAAAACTAAAGAAGGGTTAATTACCCTTTGTTATTCAAAATAAGAATTGAACAGTCGGCTCCTTTCTCAGAGCGTACAGCAAAGCCTCCACTTGAGCTTGAACTCAAAGTAATAAGAAGTAAAACTTAACAGCCGAGGCTATCAAGATTCTAAGTAGTTGGTCTCTAAATATCGAATAAGCTATCAAGGTCCTGAAATACGGCCAAGCGTAGTAACAGCTTAGAGAGAGATATAATCAAAAGGCGAGCTCACCCTAGTCAGAAACTCTGATGTCCTCTAACGAAGTCGGTGGAACTTCGATTTAAATACCACACTTACTCATTTCCATTAAACGTAATTCTAAAACACGTTCTGGTAGAATATTGTAAACTGAAATTAGGAAGGACAGGAAAGTAGCTTTAACTAAAGATAACTGATAAAAACTTAGGCTAAGCCTTACATGTTCTTTTTATAAATAATAAAAATAAGCATTTTTAGAAACAAAAAATTTATGAGAAAAAATGATAATTTATAATGTAAATATTTCTGGTACAATTCCGTTATTAAGACAGTAAAAAATTGCCAAACTATTGTGTACTCTGTGATGCCAAAAATAATTATGGTAACCGTATCACAAGGAAGGGAGCATAATAGTAAATAACTCTAAGAATTTTATTTATATTATTTTACTTTACATGAAAGGTTAATTTCATATATTGAATTTTTTATTGCTATCACTTAAAGTATAATGAAATGGCTAGGCATATTTGAAATTAAATGGGAGGCATAAATTTTTTTATCTCCTTTAACATTTCAGAGAAAATTTCAGTTTAGTTTTTTTTTGTGTAAATGCCTGCATATTGATTTGGACAAATAAGAATTGAAGTGCTGTCAAGCAGTGCCTGATGGCATTTTTTATGTTATTTAACACTGCACCACTGTCACTCTAATTTTTGTATATGATGCCTACTCACAGGGTCCACAATTTATACTTGTGGTCAACAGTAACATATTCAAAGCGGCATCTTGCAATTCATCTGACTTGCATGCTTTTGATTCCATGTATGTAACTGTAACTCATATAACTGTATACACTTGTATTGTGGGTTCAGCTTCAGCTGGAGTTTACAGAATTCAGTAGATGTCATTTGAAACCAAAAATAGATGAACCTCATATCTTAATGAAGGAGATTTTTGATCCTTCGAGAGAGAGAACCAGTTTTGTGATCTTAATCCTTTTTTCTCATTGCAGGATTCTTTCCTGCAGCACATTTTACCTTTGAGTTATTGATAAATACAATTTCATCTTGTGGTTCTTCGGTCATAATTTTCTATCATGAATGATGTCTTTTCTTTGAAAAAATTTTATTGCAGACTTTTCATTCAGTGTGTAACAAACAAATTATAAAAACCATGGCATTATCAAAAATTAAAAAATCAAACATTAGTATTTCAATGGCTACTTAAAGTTCTAGAACTGTCTAAATTCATGCACATGCAGAGAAATTTAGATTTATCCACAAAGTTGCATATTTAATCACAATAATTGCCATCTATCACTTTTATTTATTTATTTAGAATGTGGCAATAAAATTAGTTATTATTTTAATCTTTTCTTTTTCCTGCCATTTTAGCACACATTCAAATTTAAAAATTAGTTTTAGTGGGACCATCTAAGAGATAGATAACTAATGAGAAATGGTAGACTACATACTACATGATTAACCATTTTTTTTTTTTTCCCCCTTTAACTGACTAGCATTTAGTTGTATGTTTCACTACAGTATACTCTTTCTTTCCTAAATGAACATTACAATATTTACACAATGGTATGTGTGCCACTAACATATGAATCCTCTTGTACAAACTTCATTTTTCTGTCATCCCACCAGCAATTGAGCAGTAAAGTTACTGACACGGTAGTTTGACGTGGGCTCAATTCCAGGTGAATGGACTGGCTGCATAGCCTTTTTGTGGTTTTCCATATATGCTACATGGATGTGAGCCAGCTTCCCTTAGAAAATCCTTCATAGAGGCATTCCTTCCCTTAGATAACCGTAGCATCCTTTGTCATAATTGGTACTTTTCTTTTATCTGCTTGCAAATCTGGCAGCCGTATCTCATTGTGTTTTAACAAAGAACAATAAGAACAAATTATATGATATAATAACACATTAATGCTAAGACAATGAGAAAAATAAATTTAATTATAAAAAGGGTTGAAGATGCATTGCTCATATCAATTAATGTTTATTTCAGGTGTAAACTGTTTGCCTATTGCTTCTATAATGGAATTAAAATAACTTTTTTATAATCAAATTTATTTTTCTTATTGTCTCATTTATATCATTATCCCAAAAGGCTACCCAGAAGGGCTATTAATTTCAAAATGGCATTTTGCATCGACTCACTTTTCAAACTGTTACCACCAAATATTATCACCATCTATTTTATTTAAAGAAACTAAATAATGAAGAATCTGCATGAGAGTATGAATGTTTCTCGCATTGTGAAGAAACAACGGTACCTAGAGCCATCAAATTTTAAATAACTTAGTTCTCCAACCAAACATGGGCTCTTGGAAGCCCGAATTTTGAATTTTTTTTATTACCTATTTCAAATTTTGTAAAACTTTAATGAATTTTTGATTAACAAACTCGATGATTTCAAAGTAAGCAATGGCAACACTTTACGAAAAAAAAATTTTTTTATCTCCAGCGCGTGTGACTGCATATCGAAAATTCTAAAGATATGCTGTTTTTAAATATTTTGTGAGATTTTGCTAATGAATTGAATTTTATGTGTTTTGAGTGTGAAGAACGAAATATTTATTCTATAAAGGTGACACCCAAAATGTTAAAAAAACAGTAATATATAAAATCTGAAAGCTTTCAGATTTTTTTATTATTTGTTCTTATGATTTTATGATATTGTAGGCAAATAAAGGAAAAGTATCCCATAATCATATAAACCTAAATCAAACCTTTTTTCTTCAAATTATTTCTATTTTGTGGCTGTATATATTGATAAAAATTTATGATCACTAAATTCAAATGGGAGTTAGAAAACAGAACAGAAAAGAAATGCATGCCTATTTTACAGTTTATGACATGATTTAACTGGTTGAGTTAGCTTACAGATACAGGCAGTTAGGTGTATCAGACCACTTGTATCAGGCTCCTTGTCCACAGCTGCATTGCAGAGTGGAACACATAGCAATTACGTGGCATTTTCTAGCATAATGTTATTACGAAGCAAGAACCGCCATAAGCCTAATTCTCATGTGCAGCATGAGCGAGTCTTGGAGAAAGAGTTACTCTGTAAAATCCAGTTCGGTTGAGGAGTAATTAATAATCTACTTTTCATCAGCTTAAGGTGATGATGTCGTGATGAGAAACACAAAACAATTACATGTCAATGGGAAGAAAGGACGTCGGAGCAACGTGTGTTTTGAATTCAAAGTCTAAAGTGAGTGCTCATAGGATGGAAGGCTGGGCAGAAAGGTGGGGCATCTGGTCAGATCAGTGGAGAGCCAATAGCATAGCTGTGAAGAGAGAGCAATTCCAAACAATTCAAGACATAGGCCAAGTGAATAGACATGTGCAAGATGGAGACTGAGATTATGAATATTATATGACAAGCTAAAACATATTACCTTTAAATAACTAAATTTCACTTATTTTCATTCAAAAAAATTCAAATTTGCAAATAATATTTTATATTTAATCACAAACACTGGTAAATTTTGCATCTATTTTGTAGAAATCAAAGATCACATATCATAGTTTATATTATTTTTTAACGTTTGTAAACAAAACATTTTCCTGAAATTAGTGAAAATTTATTTTTCAGGCCATGTATAGAAGAGCTTTACAGTTAAAGAAATCATTAGCCAAAACTAAAGGAAAGTCACAACCTTTTCCACAAGGGGTAAATGATTTCTTTTTATCTCCCGTATGGATATTTTTATATTTACATCTGTAATTCTATTGTAATTAATTTATTATATGTATTCCAATTAATTCTGGTGTGTACTTTTATGTATGTGCAATGGTATTTCCTTGTTAATATGGGCACAACATTTAATTGTCAAACATAATTGTCCAAACTTAATGTGAAAATTTCGAATGTTGTGGATCACTTATGCTGTAGCCATTTTAAAAGCACTCATTTAATTGATATCATTTTTAACAATAAGATTTATAAATGAAGGACTGTATTATAAGTTTTTATTTTAATACTGTAAAGCAGTATTTCCCAAAGAGGGCTCTGAAACTTTGTTAAGGGCTGCTTTAGAAACAGCAAAATAACACATATGTTTGAAAAAGAAAAATAGTTTTTTCCAGATTCAATATAGTACTTGGGCACTCAGTTTTCTTTTTTTTTTTTTTTTTTTTTTAATGGAAGGAGATTAAGTTATTCTTTAGCAATTTCCATTAAATTGTGCATTGACATTCCAAGTCTATGCATGCAACACATGTCTAACTTAACAGGCACCTTTTCGATTGTCACAAACTAAAATCTAGTTTGACTGTGTAAGCAGTAGTGATGCAAGAAGTGTAGGACCATGTAGTTTGTAAAGTGCTAGTGTGTATTTTTTACTTTTTACAAAAGAAAGAAAAGAGGAAGGGGCAGAAGAAAAAACAAAAAGAAAGCAGAATGAAAATATAATTTTTCTAGAAGAATCTGGAACAGCTTTTAGGGTTTCCAAATGCTTGTAGGAATCGGAATCAGAGGTGGCATTTTTGCCAAGTTGCTGGCTAATACACAAGTACCAAAATTATGAGCATTTTAATTAGTAAGTTATTAACTTTTTTTTTATGTTAAACTCTATTTTGCAATTTTTTAAAAATAATCGTAATTCGATATCTCCATTAAAATATATCTTAGATCTTTTCTATTATAGTACAACGTGATTGTAAAAATCAGTCTAAACATCTGAAATGTATATTTTAGGTCAGTTCTAGCAATGAAAAAAATAAAATTAAGGACTAAAACCTTTTTATTTGAAGTACATACAACAAAAATAATACATTATTATATAAGGCAAAAACAACATTTTTAATTTGAAGATTTCCTATAGGCTAAAATATTGGCTAAGTTCAAATGAATTTTTCTCTTTTGTCATGAATTTATATAAAAATGAGAATTAAATAAAGTATAATTAAAATGTTGAAACCATCAAGCTGAATATATGGAACCATCAAGTTGATGAAAAATTTTGTTGCTTGTTGCCCTATAAAAGAAAAGCATTTCTTTTTGTTAATTGTCAATAAACCTGTAATAATTTTTGTTTTGAATTATTTTTCAAATCTGGAAATCGGAGCAATTTTAGTATCATAAGATTGTTTGGAATAAATTCTTAAGAAACCCTGTGCTTTTCTACATTAGAAACACTGCAAAAATTTTAATTTATTTGTTATGTATTAGGAAGTAACATCTGAAGTTGATGTTAAGTATAAAGCACATTTATGCCTTGTGAATCTTAAGCAGTTTTCTCAAGCCATTGGATTAGTAAGTAATTTTTTAATACTTTTTAAAATACAACGTGCCACTTGAAAATGTATTGAAATTTAAATGTTAATTTATACATTTCCCAAATTCTGATGATATTTAATTTTTGTAATTTGTAGCTAGAAAGTATCTCTGCCAAACAAAGGACAGCTTCAGTAAATATGGCTTTAGCTAAGCTATATCATCAAAATGGTATGGAAAGGTGTGCCATCACTAGTTATAAAGAAGTTTTGAAGTAAGTTTTCAACTAATGCAGATTTGTTTTAGTTGTGTAAATTTTAAAGAAAATGCTTTTTCGATATAATAAATCAACTGGTGTTGAGTATATTTTACTGAATTGATAACATGCATTTAAGAGTAACTTTGAATAGCAAAAAAATTAAAGGAATAATATATATTTTTTAGAGAATAATCATATTAAAAATTTACTTTTTGATAACTTAGATCTGGTTCAAGTTATTTGCATGCTTAACCTATCTAAAACTTTTGATTTATGGATTTGGGATATGTGATATATATTTGACAATGTAAGGTCTTTGTAATTATAGTAATATTTAACCTATTGTCCGTTTTTTCCCCACTTTCTTGTACATTATAAATCTGTTTACCCCCCCCCCGCTCCCAGTGCTTATTATAACAGAATATAGATACTTAGGGTAGCAGTATATATAAAATACTGACTTAATTTTAAAGCATTTGATTTATCCTCTCTTTTCTGTAATGTAAACATTTGCAAAAGTATATTTCATTAATGAAATTATTAATAATTACAAGATGATATATACTGTATAAATGAAATTATCACGTTTCAAACATATGGACAACTGACAAGACATGAACTTGATACACCATTGCTGATTTATTGTCTTTGTAAAGTTTATTGCAAATTTTTTAACTGCAGAATAATGTATATCATGTAAATTGGTTACCTTAATTATTCAGATTAACCACTTGCCTATTTAGCTCAAGTGCCATATGCACACTGCTTTCACGCTCGTATGCTGTACGGGCAATCTCATTTCTTGGCTGCTTTTACTGTTTGACCTGTATCTTTTCTATTTTAAATATCACATTATTTTATAGATGGCAGTAAATGTCCACAAAGTGGTAGTTTGTAAAGTCTGTTTTGTTCTAATTACTTCAAAAGGGTCACTTGTTTCACTTATTTCTCACAGTGTTAGGTGTAGCAATCTGCCATAAATAAAAATGCTGAAACTAATCTAAAACAAAACTAACATTTATTTTTACATATAAATTAAAACAGAGGCTGCAATAACAGTCGTTATGTTAAAACCAAACCAAAATCAAAGGAGAAAAAAAGTGAGCAAGTACTCCCAAGTTGACTGACACTATCATATAAATGCAGCCTGATATGTCGTAGCCGACGCTATGTTATTGGCCAGTCAGCAGCAACCACCTTAGCGTACTGCCGACTGGCCTGTGATCAAATCTGCATGAAAAATATAATAACAAAATATTAAGAAATACAAAAATTTTATGTTTCAGTTCTATACAACGGACATAATACTTATTCTACTTGAATACTGTAAACAGTTAAACAAAACTTTACCAAATTCAAATCAGTTACTGATTTTAAAATAACTTCATATTATTTAATTTGCTTGAGGTAAACTCAAGGTCAAACACCTCACCACTCACCATTCTTCTAATAAAACGATATTTAGTTCGTTAACGTTAGTTAATCATATTTATTTGCTTACTTTTACTACAAATTGGATGGCACCTTTTCCTTATACTTTCCTTTCAAAAGTACCTACAACTTGAGACATATATGCATCATTTATTTCTTCAAAATTTATCATTAAATTCCTGTTACTGCAGAAATGAGTTGTAGCTGGGTCTAGGACTTTTTGTCATCGCTCTTTTTCCAGAAAGACAGTCTGCTGGCAGCTGATTTGCCGTGGGCCGTTTCGTCATCAAGTAGAAATGGAATGCGTAATAAAGATTGCTTAGAATATGTATAATTGTTTACTAATATTTTTAATCAACTTGTTTAGAGAAATCACTCATGCAAGAAGGAAATTCGCATTTTTTTGAAATTTTAATTAAAAGCAGAATTACTTAATGATCTTGTTAGCAAATTACTGTCTTAAAATTAATAAATAGATAGATAGATATTCTAATAAGTCAACTTTTGCATCACTTGTAATAATATAGTTTTATAAAATTATATACAAAAATATTTTGTATGCTATTCAAAAGCTTTTAATGTAAAGAATTGCTGAAATGTAAATGTTAACAAACCATCTGGTTCTTTAAGTGGTGAAATTCAAAAAGATGTTTTACCATAACTTTGGTTGTACAGAAAACACTTGCAGGAAACTGAGTTTTAATATAAACAAAGACAATTCTCCTCAAATATTGTCTTAAAAAAGATCAATTTATTTTGAAATTTCAAAATAATTTCCTTTTTATTATGAATGTTAGATTATATTATGTTTAATTATAATATTATTTTTTATTTTAATATTATTTTTATTTTAGTATTATATGTTACTTTTATAATCATATTATATTTCATCTTATTGTGAAGGCTTTCAGTTATTCTTTTGAATTCATCTGAGTACCACATATCATTCAAGAATTTATTATTTTAATATATTTTAATAATTCTAGAAGCTATGTTTAATAACAAAAGCTTTTTTTATAATACAGTCATGTTAAGGAAAAAAAGTCTTGACTGCGAATCAGTCCATGGTGCTAAATAAACTTAGTAATGTCATATGGCAAGACATGCAAAGAAAAATATGTCTTGACTATACAATAGGTAAACAAAATTATTAAATTAAATAATATTTAATATAGTACAGCAAAATGAAATGCCGTAATGTTAAGAAAAATATGTCTTGATACCATATCAGTTATATGGCAAGATATAATATAGGTATGTAAAGAAAAATATGTCTTGGTGAATCGGTTTGACAGCGAAATTGTAGTGGCAATTAGTCCCATTCCCTTGTATCTGTGACCCAATTAAATTTATCTGCATTATGTCATTTATCTGTAGTTAACACATAATTTTCTATTAACATTAATTTTTTATCTTCAAAGTATCCCCTTTTTATCATCTATTTTAAATTTCTGATTTTTATTTAAATTTTCTTTACACTTTTCAATCAAGTGTTCAAAGTTATGGCATATATGACAAGGTCCTATCTTTATATTCCAAATTTTTTTCTTAAATTTAGATTTATTTTCAGTTCTCTTTTACCCACATTTGTGCTAATAATATTAAATATGCTTACTTTGTTGTCTTTTAAATTCGCGTGTACCTGACGAAGTCAACTTTCTTTTCTTACCAGTTCTTTGGCGATTTTTTTCAACATAAATTTCTTGTCTTTCCACTTATAAATCAGTTGTGCAATTCTGAAGTATACCTGCCTTAAATGCAAAATTGCCTGAAATCCTTTGAAAAGATCTGCTAAGTTGTTTCCGGCTTCAGCCAGTTTCTTTGCAGTTGTTTTTATCCTCATAATAAGTAACCCAATTTCTTCATGAGGTACATACCTAATGCTGTAAAACTCATCCTCTAGCTCGATTACTCTTGCTCTTGTTTTTGTTCAAGTTGCTTCTATAAAAAATCCTAAGCTTCTTTGTCACTTGAATATTTTTGAATCAATGCCCTGAACTCCATTTTAATTCTGTAAATTTTTTCACATTTTGTTGCACTTTTATCCAGTTCTTACTTTCTGAAGCTCCAACAATTTCTATCCAGAATCAGCATTTTCATGTTGACTTTCTATCAATTCCAGTTGTCATGGTTGTTCAAACCCTTCTGGTCGTAGCAACAGCTTGCACAACAGCTTGAAGTAAAACATGTATGCCTTCTCATCTCCATTTTTCTTAAATAATAGCCCCCTTCTCTTGCATTCTTTTAACACTGAGTTGCCTAGCCCATAATCTCTCAGCATGGAAGATGCAGGAATCTTTTGAAAAGCATACTTTACTTTTCATAAATGAAATATCATAACTAATCTAAAATAAAAGTAATATTTATTTTTATTTATAAATTAAAGCAACTAGGCTGCAATTGCAGCCTGTACATTAAAACCGAGGCAGTAGAAAGGGGGAAAATGAGCGAGTACTCCTGAGTTCCCCAATTCTGTCAAATGAATACAACCAGAAACATCACCCAATCTACCAAAATGACGCATCCATATTAGTTTACCTCCAAATGGTCTCTGATCAATTTTATATAAGGAAAACAAAACATTAAGCCAACATTATCTGCATGGGTCTGGAAGTTTTTATCTTTCAGTACTCAGTTTTTCGCTTATATTTTACTATTGATTTGATAATGTTATTGATATACAAGTAGTTAAAATTGTTTTTACCATAAAATAATGACTGATTCAGAATGAATGCTACTGAGACTGTGATTAGAATCCAAAATGTCTGTAATGAGTCTGGGAGTATTGAAGGTTCTGCTACTGATGTAGATGATTTTAATACTGCTGTAAAAAAAATGGCAATAAAGATAAAAATTTATAGTTTTAATTGAATATTAACATTTGACTGATAGAAAAGCATGCAACAGTTGATGGATATTATCGTTTGACTGATAAAAAAGCATGCAACAGGTGAAGGTAAAGGCAAGGCTTTGTGGATATTCACCAGCTCCACTGACTAGCAGAAAGATATTTTTAGAGGTGATTTTATCTGCAAGGAAAAAATTAAGACCTGCAAGTTAGTGTGATGTGTGTTCACTGAAAATGACAGCAGCAAAAGAATAGAAAGAAAGACTGGACTTTTATCAGGATTGTGCTGTTCATCTGTGGCTTTCACTTTGTTTTAAGATACGTCACATTTAATCAAATCTTTGAAAAAATGCAAAGTGTAATTGAACATAATTGTAAAGTAATTTTTTATATATGCAACTGTAAATGCAATGTAATGTCCCCTTTAGGCTCATCTAGGATGAAATGAAAACTTCTAAGGAAAATATTACAAATGTTAATTTTAATATCATTTTCGTAGTTACAAATCTAAAATAAACATAAAAAGTGACATTTCATGAATTGAATTGAGGAGAAAAATGAAAAAATTAAGTGGTTAGATTAAAAAAAATTAATATTTAAAGATTCTGTTGTTTTGTTATTATAAAAACATCAAAATGCTGGTAGTTTAATATGTGGGAAATTTAAAATAGGCTATGAAAATAACAAGAGCAAGCAAAAATTGGATTCTTTTAATCTGAATAATAAATAATATCAG